TTCCAACAAGCGGGCCTGGCCTAGGGAGGATTTTTAAATTGGGTTTTTTAGAAATTTTAATTATCACAACACTAAAATTTTGGTTTTAATTTGGTTTTATTCGGTGGGGTGTGTGGGTCTCTCTTTGTTTTAATAATGTTGTGAGCCGCCCTGAGTCCTTCGGGAGAAGGGCGGGATACAAATTGGAATAATAAATAAATAAATAAAATTGAGTAATCATTAAATTAATGGTTATGTTGAGGACTACCTGTATATGGAAAATATAGCAGAATATATTTATATCTGACAAAATAGATATAGCCACCAATGACATTCTGACTTGTAGCATCACTGGGGATTTTTAAAAAGAAGCTAGACAGTCACTTGTCTGAGATGATAGGTTGTCCTGCTTGAGGAGGGGGCTAGACTAGAGAACCTCTAAGGTCCCTTCCAGTTCAATTCTATTCCTATTCTATTCTATGTCGGTCACCAAGATGAGAGTTTCTATCTTCCGGGCTTTCGGTCCCTCCCTGGAACCCACCTTCGTGTCTGCCTTTCTAAAAAGCCACACACAGACAGTATAAATATCATACAGAAAACAGCACACACTCTCTGCTAGAGAGAAATTCCCTGAAGATAGGCTCCAGCAAGGGCCTGGAAGACAAAACCTCTCGTCCCATTGACCGACCCAGATGGGATCCTGCAAAGCAAACCAGGGTATCTGTAGGGAGGCCCTTCTGTCACTCCAGTTCCAGTGATCAGATGCTGAATCCCTCCCTTTTCTTCCCCAGATACTCTGGAAAGTGGACTTCAACTCCAGGAAGGTAAATAGGAGTTATTAAGAATCTCATATATCGCTTGCTATTTTAAGCTCTGATGCTGGTAGCTTTAAGAGAAATACTGTGCAATAGACTGACAAAAAAAGCATAAGATTAGCTACCCTGAAGACTACGATGATCCAGTAAACTTAAATGATTTTATTATTTATGACCTGTTACTTGCTATTTATATGTACACTGTGAGCTTATCCACTGAAGACATTCCTTGTGTGTCTGATCACACTTGGCCAATAAAGAATTCTATTCTATTCTATTCTATTCTATTCTATTCCATTCCATTCCATTCCATTCTATTCTATTCTATTCTATTCCATTCCATTCCATTCCATTCCATTCCATTCTATTCTATTCTATTCTATTCTATTCTATTCTGTTGCATTCCTTTCCATATAAAGAGCGACAAAGAAAAGTATAGGATTAGATACCTTAAAGACTGTGAAAATCCACTAAATATAATCTAGAAAATTGATGTCAGTCTTAGTGTAGAATGAAATATTTGCATAAATGGGAAAATATGGGCTGGTACTGAAAGGAATATAGAACTCCTGCCAGGCTAATAACATCCTCTTCATTTTACTGCCTGACTATAAATTGGTGAGAGACCAGGTCTTTGGGAGCAGAGAAATTAAGTCCTT